TATACATCCACTACCCACTCTGAAACCTCCTTGCTCATCCGCAGTCCTACATTCTGTATTACCTCTAATTCTTTCAATTATAACCCTACTGAACACTTTTCCTGGTATACTCAGAAATTTATTCCTCTATAATTTTTACAATCTCTTTTGTCCCCCTTCCCTTTATATAAAGGGACTATACATGCTCTCTGCCAATCCCTAGATACCTTCCCCTCTTTCATACATTTATTAAACAAAAATACAAACCACTCCAACATTATATCCTCTGCTTTTAACATTTCTGTCATGATCCCGGCAGTTCCAGCTGCTGTACCCCCTTTCATTCTACATAATGCCTTATGCACCTCCTCCCCACTCACATCCTGTTCTTCTCCACTCCTAAAAGATGGTATACCTCCCTGGCCAGTGCATGAAATTACCGTTTCCCTTTCTTCGTCGGCATTTAAAAGTTCCTCAAAATATTATCGCCATCTACCCAAAACCTCCATCTCCCCATCTACTAACTCCCCTACTCTGTTTTTAACTGACAAATCCACTCGTTCTCTAGGCTTTCTTGATTCGTTTAACTCTAAATTTTTTTCTTATTTTCATTAAAATTCCTTGCCAGTGCCTCTCCCACTCTATCATCTGCTCTCTTTTTGCATTCTCTCACCACTCTCTTCACCTTTCTTTTACTCTCCATGTACTCTACTCTTCTTATAACACTTCTGCTTTGTAAAAACCTCTCATAAGCTAACTTTTTCTTTTTTATCACACCCTTTACTTCATCTTTCCACCAATTACTCCTCTTTCCTCCTGCACCCACCCTCCTATAACCACAAACTTCTGCCCCACTTTTCTAATACTGCATTTTTAAAACTATTCCAACCCTCTTCAACCCCCCACTACTCATCTTGCACAGCCCACCTTTCTGCCAATAGTCGCTTATATCCACCCGAACTTCCTCCTCCCTTATTTTTATACACTTTCACCTCCCCTCTTGCTTGTTGTTGCCATTTTCCTCTTTTCCCATCAAACCTCTTACTCTAACTGTAGCTACAACTAAAATATGATCCGATATTCAGTTGCCCCTCTATAAACGTGTACTCCTGAGCCAACCCATCAACATTTTATCCATCAATACAAAACCTAACAAACTACTTTCATTACATGCTATATCATACCTTGATATTTATCCTCTTCTTCATAAAAAATGTATTACTTATTACCAAACCTCTTTCTACACATAGCTCAATTAAAGGCTCCCCATTTTCATTTACCCCTGGCACCCCAAATTTACCTACTACTCACTCCACAACATTTTTGCCCACTTCAGCATTGAAATCCTCAACCACCATTACTCTCACACCCGGTTCAAAACTCCCCACGCATTCACTCAACATTTCCCAAAATCTCTCTCTCTCCTCTACACTTCTCTCCTCTCCAGGTGCATATATGCTTACTATAACCCACTTTTCACATCCAACCTTTATTTTAATCGACATAATCCTTGAATTAATACATTTATAGTCCATCTTTTCCTTCCATAACTTATCCTTCCACATTATGCTACTCCTTCTTTAGCTCTAACTCTATTTGAAATCCCTGACCTAATCCCATTTATTCCTCTCCACTGAAACTCTCCCACCTCCCCCTGAACATAGAAAAGAGTAAGGTGATGAGAGTATCAAATGATTTAGATAAAGAAAAATTGGATATCAAATTAGGGAGGAGGAGTATGGAAGAAGTGAATGTTTTCACCTCACTCACACATAATCACTGTTTTTGCAGAGGTGCCCAGAATACAACAGTTTAGAAGTATACACGTATAAAACAATACACAATATATCCCTCCAAACTGCCAATATCCCAAACCCCTCCTTTAGAGTGCAGGCATTGTACTTCCCATTTCCAGGACTCAAGTCCGGTTATATAAAATAACCGGTTTCCCTGAATCTCTTCACTAAATATTACCCTGCTCACACTCCAACAGATCATCAGGTCCCAAATACCATTCGTCTCCATTCACTCCTATCTAACATGCTCACGCACGTTTGCTGGAAGTCCAAACCCCTCACCCACAACACCTCCTTTACCCCCTCCCTCCAACCTTTTTGAGGATGACCCCTATCCCGCCTTCCTTTCCCTTCATGTCATTCTACTTTGATCCATTCTCTCTAAATGACCAAACCACCTCAACAAACCCTCTTCAGCCCTCTGACTAATACTTTTATTAACTCCACACATTCTCCTAATTTCCACACTCCGAATTTTCTGCATAATATTTACACCACACATTGCCCTCAGACAGGACATCTCCACTGCCTCCAACCGCCTCCTCACTGCAGCATTTACAACCCAAGCTTCACACCCATATAAGAGTGTTGGTACTACTATACTTTCATACATTCCCTTCTTTGCCTCCATAGATAACATATTTTGCCTCCACATATACTTCAACACACCAATGTGACATCACGTTTGTCATGCCACCAAAATGTCATGATGTCATTGGCAGCAAACACCTGCACCTCACTTCTGTGAGTGCCTGCATCGAACCTAGACATATGCCACACACATCTGTCATGTTCACTCGCAAGAAATCACTGAGTAAGGGGCCTGTGTACCAGTTCTCAGTATATAATATATATCCCTTACCAAGATATGGTTCTATCATTGTTCTAACCACATCACCAGAGATACCCAATAACTTCCTGGTATCTCTCAATGTATTACTGCCAGTGTACACAATTATATCCAAAACCAGACCACTTTTGCAATCACACAGTACAAATAACTTTATACCAAAGTGTTTCCTCTTGCTTGGTACATACTGTTTGAATGACAGTCTGCCTTTGAGCAAAATCAAAGACTTATCAATAACAAGCTTCCTGAAGGGATAAAAATACATACAGCACTTTTGTTTCAGGTACATAAACACATTTCTTATCTTATATAACCTGTTGTTTCTGTCAGACCTTGTTTTGTCTGAGAAGTGTAGCATATGTAACAGTAGCAGAAATCGATTCACTGGTGTAATGTCACTGAAAGATGGGGTTGAAATCAGACGGTCTGTCGTCCAGTATGTGGTGACAGTGTGCTTATACACATGTGGCATAAGCATTATTGTGGCAAAGAACAGGTACATCTCTCCCACAGTTGTGTCCTTCCACTGGTGTAGCCATGACCTTGGTGAAAGAATTGTGTTTGCCATGGTGTACAATTAGTATGTGTTGCTTTCCCTGACAATAATTTCCATCAGGGGTTCATCGAAGAATAACTGAAAGCATTCCAGTTCAGTTCCCAAGTGTACAAGATGGCCATATTCCACTTTGTGTTTCATCAAAGTCATGGGGGATTGGGAACAAAATTGGCACCTTCCTGCCAATCCCAGATGTGGTCTGCTGGTGGGTACTGGATATTGACAGGTGGTTGTGGAGGTTGTGGTTGTGCAGGTTGTGGGAGTGTGGGGGTGGTTGAGGATGGTTGTGGCTGTGCCGAGTTAGCAGCATGGCCCGCTGCTGGTGCCACATGACTCATGCCACCACCACCACCACTACCACCACCACCACCACCACCACCACCACCTGCTGCCCCACACACATTACACATCCCCACTGTAACAATATCATCATCTTCACTATCAGTTTCGTGGTGTAGGGCCACAGGATGTACTCTGAGATTTACTCCTTTTCCTTGGAATGGCATATGGCACACTACCCGAATGCATGCTGCATCGTACATACTGCCACTTCACTGGAGAATATTCCCCCTCACTGTCAAACTCGAACTTTCAATAGCTTGGAAATCACTGTCACTTTCACTGCTCACATCCAAATCCTGTACATGGGGAAACAGTTTCCTCTTTCGTCCTGGTACAGGTGAACGTGAATGAAACGGCCCAGCACCAGAGGTGGAAGGTTGTGGGTTATCTGGGTTTTCATCACTAATTAAGTTATCCTGGGCACTGCTTTTGGTCACACCCTCCAGAAAATCATGGAATTCACTTTCATTGGCACTTCCATCACTGTTAGGACTATAACTTGGGAACAGAAGACCTCCAATTTGGCAAGGAGTGAGATACTTCTTACCACAAGGCATCATGAACAAGGACTACTAAAGCGGCACCACTGAGTCCCTGATTTTTTATACTGTGCACACCCATCATGCAGACCCATTCTCTCACACGTAGGCCTACCAGCTTTCTCCCGCTTGATTTGAAGCCACTAAAATTATGCATATTAATACATCAAAAACAATGGCTCGTAAGACGTATATATACGACCGAAACAGGACATACTAGTGGAATAACTAAGAATCTGGTCAAATGGGGTAATGAAATTGGCTCAAAATAGAACAAAGTCGGCAAAATTGCCAAAGTGCAAATGTGTGCCTAGACTGTTAACCTGTGCCTGCATACTTCATAAGTTTTCCATCAAATTTCGTACTTTTGTTGTCATTACCTTCAGATAAAGATTCTCTACTATTTCAGAAGAAATTTTTCTTTTTTAAAAAGTGGACATTTGGAGTAATATTAATTTCGGGGATTTGAATAGTGACAGTTAAACATATTCTGTTTCAAACACTGTACAACGAATTTATACTACTGATACCAACTTGGTACTGTGATGACAGAATTTACTCTCATATTACATGAATCATAATCAAAATACTTACAAGTAAAACTATTCAAAACCTACTGTTTACATTCCACAAACAATATCTAAAAAATGTTCATGTCAACAGCCAGGAGTGTGAGCAAATTTAGACAAAAGGAGAATTATCCTCCCACTTATGCTGAAAGAGAAGCTGGGTTTTTAGTCAGGCAATTACCCTGTGGGGAAGAGTGGCACCCCTCCCAGTGAAGAGGGGCCTCTACCCCTAGGCACAAACTACAAATCCCACCACTGCATCAAGGTGACCCAGCATTGAGTGGGTTAAGAAGAGTGAATTATCTAAGCATTACAACTATGGTATTTTTTCCATCTGCTTAGTTAAAAGTTAAAACATTTTTTACCTACTTCTAAAACTGAGGTATCCTTATTGCCAGAAGACAAGTCAATCTCTGGAAGATCGTCTTCAGAATCTTCAGTGTCAGACCCCCGAGAATCGTTCACCTCATCTACCAACATGTCCTGGATATGCATAATTGAAAATGGTTAAGACAAAACTTAGGTACTTTTTTCCAATTCATTTAAAAAAAAGTGAAAAGTAAGATAAAATAAAAACTTAAACACATGATTATTAAGAAAGTACTGCATAAACCAACTAAAAATTAAAGTCTTTACTGCCAACAACTTCAAATCTAACACCAATAAATGATGGATGTTTCTACTTGCAAGAAGAGCATTTGAAAATGCAAAATTAGGCAAATTCTCACTAAATCAACTACAGTGGACCCCCGGTTAACGATTTTAATCCGTGCAAGAGGGCTCATCGTTATGCGAAATAATCGTTTGCAATGATTTTCCCATAAGAAATAATGGAAATAAAATTAATCCGTGCAAGACGCCCAAAAGTATGAAAAAAATTTTTTTTTACCACATGAAATGTTAATTTTAATACACACAAACTGAAAAAGGCATGCACAATTACATGACACTTACTTTTATTGAAGATCTGGTGATGATTGATGGGATGGGAGGAGGGGAGAGCTTTAAATCTTCTTACTGTTTAGAAGGGGAATCCCCTTCCATTAGGACTTGAGGTAGCAAGTCCTTTTCTGGGTTACTTCCCTTCTTCTTTTAATGCCACTAGGACCAGCTTGAGAGCCCACTGGACCCTCTGTCCCACAACAAATCTGTCCATAAGCTCTGTACCTCCCGTTCCTTCAAGACTTTCCTAAAAGGGGCCATAACTTTGTCATTAAATAGTCACAAGCACGGCTTGCAACAGCTGTGTCGGGGTGATTTTCATCTATAAAGGTTTGCATTTTCAACCCACTCTGCACACATTTCCTTAATCTTTGAAGTAGGCACAATGGATTCCACAACGGGCATAGGCTTCTCGGGGTTACCCCAAACCCTTCAAAATCTTTCTTAATTTCCATACAAATTTCCCTCCACCCTTTTTTACCACGGGGTTGGCACTAGAAGCTTTCTTGGGGCCCATGGTCACTTATTTTTCCAAAACAGCACCGAAAATACTGTAATAATACGAAATATTCTGAGTGTATGCTTGGATGTTACCGCGGAGGCTGGCTGGTAAACAATGGGACGGAGCGGCACATGTGAGGCTGGCTGAGGGCACATTGGACGCGTCTCGGACGAAAATCGGTATGCGGGTTTTTAATCGGTATGCGCGGCAAAAATTTTGCGATAAAAGTAATCGTTATGCGGAAAAATCGCTATGCGATGCCATCGTTATGCGGGGGTCCACTGTATATACTTAACAAACTATGTACTGTACTTGATTTTTACATAATGAATGATAATTAATTGTTATTATTTGCATTTATCGTCAAGCATTTTTGTTTCTTCACCATAATGGGTCACACCACCTTGTTCTTTCAACAGCTGTCTTGACAGAAGTGTATAGGTAAGCATTAACAATACAGATTGATAGAGGTCTGGTGGCCACCCCACCAATGTAGGGTGGCATGAAAAAGAAAAACAATCATCATCATTCACTCCATCACTGTCTTGCCAGAGGCACACTTACACTACAGTTATAAAACTAACATTTACACCCCTCCTTCAGAGTTGTAGGCACTATACATCCCATCTCCAGGACTCAAGTCCAACCTGCCAGTTTCCTTGAATCCCTTCATAAGTGTTACCTTGCTCACACTCCAACAGCACATGTTAAAAGGCAATTCAACAAAAAAATCTTTTGGTTTAATAAACAAATATGTTGCATATTAATAGGTTACCGAGGTAACATGTTTTGTGCCATAGTATTCCTTGTTTCTGGCAATGGTTGTATGGAGGAGCTTCTGAACTTCTGCTCTGTGTCTTTCATCTTCTCGGCCACAACTAGCAGAAGTCACTCTTGGGACTGGTGGTGGTTGAAGAGCAGACAGGAACACAGCAGTTGCTGTAGCTACACCCACAATGAGACGCTCCCCAACAGTCACCCGGACTCGCAGCCCAAAGAGTGCATTCATTCCCTTGATCTAAAGAGTACAGTACAAATATTTATTAGCAGAAATTATTACTGACAACTACAGTGTATGCTTACCTACTTAATAATTTTAACTTTCCTGTTATACTGCTATTTCATATCAAATAAAAGATTACTTTTGATAATGAACATCATACTAAGAAAAATAAAAGTTTCAAATAACCAACTTAATTTAAAAAATACAAATAATGTAAATAAGGCAAGTTACCTTCATTTTATTAATGAGCTGTTTGTGCAGCTCATACTCCAAAAATGGGAGAGAATCTGATATTTCTTTAGCATTAAGCTCACCCTTTAAATCTCGCTTTGATCTAGCCACCCTTGCTTGGATTAAACAGCCTCTTCCTGAAACGGGACAACCAGATTTAACCAAGCACCCAAATGAACCAAAGATATGAAAGGAAATTTTCTTTTTAACCCTTGCACAGTCCATCCCATAGACCTACTGCTTTGAAGCCAGGGTCCAAGCCATAGATCCATGCCAAAATTCTAGTGGCTTCAAATTTAGCATGAGAAAGGTGGTAGCCCTACATCTAAGAGAATGAGTCTGCTTGGACAGTGTGCGCAGTAAACAAAAAAAAAAATCAGGGCACCCGCATTGCACTGTGGGAACTCCATCTCAGTATGCTCTGTTCATCATGCCTTGCGGCAAGGAAGCTCTCACTCCCCAGCAAATTGGGATTCTTCTCTTCCCAAGCTACAGTTGTAACACTGATGGAAGTGGATCTGAAGAGGAATTCTATGGTTTTGAACCATATGGTACAATGGTACCATATGGTACAGGGTACAGGAACCCTAATGGAAGTAAGTCATTCTGTCTGACTTTTTTTGTGTTTATCTTAGGGTCTCCACACATATACTGCTATGTATGATAATCTATTTAACTGTATTTGTGTATACTTGAATAAACTTATGTACTTACTTACAACGCCACATGCGCTCAAGTAAGTTTATTCAGGTATACACATATACAGCTACATAGATCATCATACATAGCAAGATATGTGAAGTCTTTATGGAAGGGGATTCCCCTTCCAAACAATAGTGTACCTTCTTCTTTCCTCTCCTCCCACCTTCCATCCACCCAGAAGTCATCAATAAGGTAAGTGTAATGTTAATATTATTTTATATATATATATGTACTTGATTTCTCATTGTTTTCTGTATTGAAATCTTTATTTAATTTGAAAAAAATATAATTTTTAATATTTTTGGGTGTCTGGAACAGATTAATTGGATTTCCATTATTTCTTATGGGGAAAATGGTTTTGCCATTCATGAATTTCAACTTTCAGCAGACCCTCTGGAACAGAGTAATCATGAAATTTGAGGGTCCACTGTACTCTAGAATGAATAAAATACATCAATAAGTATGTCACGAGTGTTGCTGTGTTGTTGTTGGGTGTATAAGGGCCACTTAGACATAAGCCGTACAAAATGGTGGTGGAGGCGGCATCGGAGGCAGCAGAGACTAGAGACTGCGGTGTTGTCAGTCGCCCTGTATATCTCCAACAACACTGGAGGAGTTAGGTTCATGCTGTCCTTTTTCTATTGAATAATCGCTTAACTTGCTTGCGACACAGTTAATGCTACACTTTATCGTTGGCTAGCACTATAGGCTTTATCGACTTATGCTGCTTTAGTATCGTACTTATCGCAGAATCACTGAATCACTGAAGAAGGCACATTCTCCCCTCTTTCTTTCTTCTCCACTTTGGTACTCTGCTACGAGTTCTTGAATTCCATAGTTTTTCTTACCTTCTTTACCAAAGGGTTGGCACTAGTATAATATTTTATGATGTTTTCATGTGTTTTATGATTGTTCATGGTTCAATAGGTTAAGGAAGCAGTATTGTATTATATTTCGCTACACTATACTGGAGCACCAAACATTCACGATTTTTCAACATTCACAAGGTTCTTGATTCCCTAACCCTCGTGAATGTTGAGGGAGACCTGTATTGTAAACAAAATAATGATGAAAATATTAGTGCAGTTGTGTTGAATACACTGAATGTACATATATACATTATGCATTATACTCGTCTCACAGGCCACAAACATTACAGGAAAAAACAAAATTAGAAAAGAAAAGAAAAAAAAGGTAACAAAAACAGTAAAACACAAAAATGCGACTTTACGGAAGTTGCCGATGCTGTCACCAACTGGTCCCTGAGGGACAACTTCACGCCTCTATTATATCCTGGAAAGTACTGATTAGATTTTTTTTTTGTTTTATTGTATTACCTACAGAAAAATATCTAATTCTGTAAGAATTTTTTTTTTTTTTTCTTAAATTCTTGGACCCTGGCTGTCACTCTGAGATTTGGCCTCTGGACCGTGAAAGGGTTAAGGGCAGCAATAAAATGGAATACACTAAAGAGGGATTTAACACGGGTAAATTTTTTAATTCAAGTACAACAGAACCCACGGGGCTGAAAAGATACACTGGTTGATTACAAATTGAGGCAAGTCTTACAGATGATGATGCCAGAATATTATCCGTCTGTTCATCATCACTTTCATCAAAAATCAAATTAGTGACACTAATATGACTGAATCCAAGTTGAAACTCTACGTAAACACAATGCCTAAATGAAAAATTTATTATCTATAAAACAATAACTTCAAAATTAATGTCAAAGAACACTGCCTGAATGTGAAGTTAACTTAGTCATGGACAATCAAGAGTACAGTATTGCATTGCTGATAATACAACTTTGGCATGATGTTTCTTGCAACCCCCTTTTCTAGTTTTATGTTATGCCATGCACCTCACTGCCTTTTCTTAAATCATTTGAAACCTTGCATTTTTATTAAACAATTCGGAAAAAGTTTTCTGACAACACACTTGACCAACCTTCTCACCGCTAGTGTCCCATAACAATCATAGAAATCTGTTAATATTTCCACTGAAAGTTGAGCTGGAATAATGCACAGATTCTAATAAAATTCCACAAATAAACAAAGCAATAGTATCGTGAGTAACAACATGCGGAAAGCAGAATTGCAACCAGTGCAGATGACAGTAGCAAGAGGGTTGGTGATGAAGGGTTTCACTAACTACTGTGTCACTGAGCCACTGAGGAAGTTATTATTAAAAAAAAAAACCTTACCAGGGTATTTGCCAGTAACTCATGACAAATACACTAATAGTGAACATAAAGTTATTTGCAGTGACTACATGATCAGTTTACAGAACTTACTGTACCTGTTATAGGAATCCCTGTAGGTGGCTCCAAAGTGGTGAAAAGAACATCTGGCACTTTTCCTTTTCTGGATAATACAACCAAAAATAAGAAACTAATCAGTCACTGGCTTATTATGAACAGATTATGTATTATATACATGTGTACAAGTACATGTGTACTGTACTATACTATATACATGTGTACAAGTACATGAGTACCAATTTATATTTGAAGGGGTAGTGACTTAGCTCTTGGCCCTGCTTTTCAGTGTGTAAGTACAGTAGGGCCCTGCTTTACAGCGTTCCGCTAATACGCACATTTCAAATTATGACCAAAACTTGCCATACAGCTCCCCCCACCTGACTTTCTAATACGGTCACCACGCCCCACCCGGTTTGTTTACATTCTCTGTGAGCTCCGTAAGCACCACATCTCTCCATTCTGTCTGGAAACTCCAAAATTTCAAGTGTTTTTAAAAGTTATTTCATATTTTATATCTTTCTTTCTTCAACACTCCGGCCGTATCCCACCAAGGCGGGGTGGCCCAAAAGGAAAAACGAAAGTTTCTCCTTTTACATTCAGTAATATATACAGGAGAAGGGGGTTACTAGCCCCATGCTCCTGGCACTTTTGTCGCCTCTTACAACAGGCATGGCTTACGGAGGAAGAATTTTGTTCCACTTTCCCATGGAGGTAAGAGGAAATAAACATGAACAAGAACTAGAAAGAAAATAGAAGAAAACCCAGAGGGGTGTGTATATATATGCTTGTACATGTCTGTCTCATAAATATGCAAGATTACAGGCATGTCTTGCTACTTCTACTTACACGTAGGTCACACTACACATACATGTACACGTTTATTTATACACACTCATTTGAGTTTTCTTTGATTTTATCTTAATAGTTCTTGGTCTTATTACTTGTCTTTTTATATCCATGGGGAAGTGGAATAAGAATCTTTCCTCCGTAAGCCATGCGTGTTGTAAAAGTCAACTAAAATGCAGGGAACAATGGGCTAGTAACCCCTTTTCCTGTAAAGATTACTAAAAAGAATAAGAAGAAGAAAATTGTCAAAGTGGGAAGTCTGAATGTGCGTGGATGTTGTGCAAATGATAAGAAAGAGATGATTGTGGATGTTATGAATGAGAAGAAACTGGATGTCCTGGCTTTAAGTGAAACAAAGCTGAAGGGGGTGGGAGAGTTTCAACGGAGAGGAATAAATGGGATTAGGTCAGGGGTTTCAAATAGAGTTAGAGCTAAAGAAGGAGTAGCAATAATGTTGAAGGATAAGCTATGGCAGGAAAAGAGGGACTACAAATGCATTAATTCAAGGATTATGTGGAGTAAAATAAAGATTGGATGTGAAAACTGGGTTATAGTAAGCGTGTATGCACCTGGAGAAGAGAGAAGTGAAGAGGAGAGAGAGAGATTTTGGGAAATGTTGAGTGAATGCGTGAGGAGTTTTGAATCAAGTGTGAGAGTAATGGTGGTGGTTGGGGATTTCAATGCTAAGGTGGGTAAAAATGTTATGGAGGGAGTAGTAGGTAAATTTGGGGAGCAAGGGGTAAATGTAAATGGGGAGCCTTTAACTGAGCTATGTGTACAAAGAAATTTGGTAATAAGTAATACATATTTTATGAAAAAGAGGATAAATAAATATACAAGGTATGATGTAGCACATAATGAAAGTAGTTTGTTAGATTATGTATTGGTGGATAAAAGGTTGATGGGTAGGCTCCAGGATGTACATGTTCATAGAGGGGCAACTGATATATCGGATCATTATTTAGTTGTAGCTACAGTTAGAGTAAGAGGTAGATGGGAAAAGAGGAAGGTGGCAACAACAAGTAAGAGGGATGTGAAAGTGTATAAACTAAGGGAGGAGGAAGTTCGGGTGAGATATAAGCGACTATTGGCAGAAAGGTGGGCTAGTGCAAAGATGAGTAGTGGGGGGTTGAAGAGGGTTGGAATAGTTTTAAAAATGCAGTATTAGAATGTGGGGCAGAAGCTTGTGGTTATAGGAGGGTGGGGGCAGGAGGAAAGAGGAGTGACTGGTGGAATGATGAAGTAAAGGGTGTGATAAAAGAGAAAAAGGTAGCTTATGAGAGGTTTTTACAAAGCAGAAGTGTTATAAGAAGAGCAGAGTATATGGAGAGTAAAAGAAAGGTGAAGAGAGTGGGGAGAGAGTGCAAAAGGAGAGCAGATGATAGAGTGGGAGAGGCACTGTCAAGAAATTTTAATGAAAATAAGAAAAATTTTGGAGTGAGTTAAACAAGTTAAGAAAGCCTAGGGAAAGTATGGATTTGTCAGTTAAAAACAGAGTAGGGGAGTTAGTAGATGGGGAGAGGGAGGTATTAGGTAGATAGCGAGAATATTTTGAGGAACTTTTAAATGTTGAGGAAGAAAGGGAGGCGGTAATTTCATGCACTGGAAAGGGAGGTATACCATCTTTTAGGAGTGAAGAAGAGCAGAATGTAAGTGTGGTGGAGGTACGTGAGGCATTACGTAGAATGAAAGGGGGTAAAGCAGCTGGAACTGATGGGATCATGACAGAAATGTTAAAAGCAGGGGGGGATATAGTGTTGGAGTGGTTGGTACTTTTGTTTAATAAATGTATGAAATAGGGGAAGGTACCTAGGGATTGGCGGAGAGCATGTATAATCCCTTTACATAAAGGGAAAGGGGACAGGAGAGATTGCAAAAATTATAGAGGAATAAGTTTACTGAGTATACCAGGAAAAGTATACGGTAGTTATAATTGAAAGAATTAGAGGTAAGATAGAATGTAGGATTGCGGATGAGCAGGGAGGCTTCAGAGTGGGTAGGGGATGTGTAGATCAAGTGTTTACATTGAAGCATATATGTGAACAGTATTTAGATAAAGGTAGGGAAGTTTTTATTGCATTTATGGATTTAGAAAAGGCATATGATAGAGTGAATAGAGGAGCAATGTGGCAGATGTTGCAAGTATATGGAATAGGTGGTAATTTACTAAATGCTGTTAAGAGTTTTTATGAGGATAGTGAGGCTCAGGTTAGGGGTGTTTTAGAAGAGAGGGAGAATACTTCCCGGTAAAAGTAGGTCTTAGACAGGATGTGTAATGTCACCATGGTTGTTTAATATTTTTAAATAGATGGGGTTGTAAAAGAAATAAATGCTAGGGTGTTCAGGAGAGGGGTGGGATTAAATTATGGGGAATCAAATTCAAAATGGGAATTGACACAGTTGCTTTTTGCTGATGATACTGTGCTTATGGGAGATTCTAAAGAAAAATTGCAAAGGTTAGTGGATGAGTTTGGGAATGTGTGTAAAGGTAGAAAGTTGAAAGTGAACACAGAAAGAGTAAGGTGATGAGGGTATCAATGATATAGATAAAGAAAAATTGGATATCAAATTGGGGAGGAGGAGTATGGAAGAAGTGAATGTTTTCAGATACTTGGGAGTTGACGTGTCGGCGGATGGATTTATGAAGGATGAGGTTAATCATAGAATTGATGAGGAAAAAAAGGTGAGTGGTGCATTGAGGTATATGTGGAGTCAAAAAATGCTATCTATGGAGGCAAAGAAGGGAATGTATGAAAGTATAGTGGTACCAACACTCTTATATGGATGTGAAGCTTGGGTGGTAAATGCAGCAGCGAGGAGACAGTTGGAGGTAGTGGAGATGTCCTGTCTAAGGGCAATGTGTTGTGTAAATATTATGCAGAAAATTCAGAGTGTGGAAATTAGGAGAAGGTGTGGAGTTAATAAAAGCATTAGTCAGAGGGCAGAAGAGGGGTTGTTGAGGTGGTTTGGTCATTTAGAGAGAATGGATCAAAGTAGAATGACATGCAAAGCATATAAATCTATAAGGGAAGGAAGGAGGGGTAGGGGTCGTCCTCAAAAGGGTTGGAGAGAGGGGGTAAAGGAGGTTTTGTGGGCGAGGGGCTTGGACTTCCAGCAAGCGTGCGTGAGCGTGTTAGATAGGAGTGAATGGAGACGAATGATACTTGGGACCTGACGATCTGTTGGAGTGTGAGCAGGGTAATATTTAGTGAAGGGATTCAGGGAAACCGGTTATTTTCATATAGTCGGACTTGAGTCCTGGAAATGGGAAGTACAATGCCTGCGCTTTAAAGGAGGGGTTTGGGATATTGGCAGTTTGGAGGGATATGTTGTGTATCTTTATATGTATATGCTTCTAATCTGTTGTATTCTGAGCACCTCTGCAAAAACAGTGATAATGTGTGAGTGTGGTGAAAGTGTTGAATGATGATGAAAGCATTTTCTTTTTTGGGGGTTTTCTTTCTTTTTTGGGTCACCCTGCCTCGGTGGGAGACGGCCGACTTGTTGAAAAAAAAAAAACAAAAAAAAACATGTATGTGTAGTGTGACCTAAGTTTAAGTAGAAGTAGCAAGACGTACCTGAAATCCTGCATGTGTATGACAGAAGAAAAAAGACACCAGCAATCCAACCATCGTGTAAAACAACTACAGGCTTCTATTTTACACTCACTTGGCAGGACGGTAGTACCTCCCTGGGCGGTTGCTGTCTACTGTGGAGAAATTTTCTCCAGGAGGGGGGTATCAGCCCCCTTCAGCCCCTTTCAGCCCTGAGGTGCCCAGCCCTCTCAGAAGGGGGCAAGCATCTTGTTTACTGCTACAGCAAGTAATTGATCCCAGATGCAGTACGAGTATGCGACGTGAGTGACCAACGCTTCTTGCAGTCCAGTGTTGCAAAGTGTAGTTTAATAAAGACCCCTTCCCAATTCTCTTACCTTAGCGGACAATTAAAAAAAATTTATTTTTTACCATGAAAGATAGAGTCTTTTGTCTTGTTAAGACAGCAAAAAAACAATTTGATGGCTGGTTACCTTCGCGGGAAGTGCACGGAAGCAAAAAAATAGGTCGCCCACTTTGAGCTAGTTCGGCTAATGTCCGTTATGACACTCATAGCTATTCTTCAGATTACTTTTTCTACTTTAGCAAGTCACTCTTTACCGAATTTTAACCACCAAGAACATGATCAGTTGCATTAGTGGAATGAATTTCACAAAAATTAAAACATTACGAGAAATTTCGATAAGTTCTTAGTGAAAAAAGA